TGTCACTATCGCGAACCGTGATCCTCAGCGAATCACAATCAAGAAGCTCAGTGAGACGCGTTCAAAAGTTCCAACCATAATTAATTGGGATGAGTGAGTAGATCAACCACAGAGTGGATGTTGGGTGGCGTGGCGTATTACACACGTTTCCAGAGCGTTAAATAGGGATAAGAATCGGTTTGCGTGAATCACTAACGGGTTCTCAGGAGAATTGATCGCATTCCCAGCTTCAAGAACTGCTTGAATCGCGGTGAGATATGGGGGGTGCAAACTGGAAGTGAATTATAGGAACTACACGGCTTTGATTTGAGATGCATACCTAAACAACTACACTACTAAATATACTAAGTTTCCAACTAAGGGATGATCCATGAGCATTAAATTCAGAACCAATCCATGATTACCATAAAATGAGGCGTCATCATGAATAGTAATGTATGATGTTCTGAAAAAACATATTAACACTTTGCCATCGACTACGGATATAATTGCATATGATTCAGATTGTTTCTAGGATTCCCATTGGACGGATGAGGGCGAAGTGCCATACTACGTATAGGAACTTCAGGATAATTACATACATGCATCACCTTCTGGTGTGAATGATCGCCGTTCCATAGGATTTTGGAATGCCATACGAATCCGCAAGCTGCCAAGACAACTTATGCAGGATCCCTCCTCATGTTGCCCCTTCTTGCCTACTTTTAAGCAAAGAAAGGGCAACACGGAGGGAGGAGGGAGGAGGCAGAAATCGAAAGGGAGTTGTAGCGTGGAAGAAAAGGGACGAAGGAAAACGGGGAAACAGTAGGGGGTTGCATGCGAATAGAAAAGGGATAAAACATAACTACAAAAAATGGGTGCTCAAGCACTTCAGCAACGTTGCATGGCTATACTCACCTAGCACTTGTGCACTCAGGTGCTCGGAAAAGAAAAGAAATACAATGCCAGACCTTGCAGCCAGACCTGGTAGGGTCGGTACCCGTAGGGTCGGGTCGGGACTTTTGTAGTAGAATGATCGATATAGCTCTGGCACCTGTTGCAGCAGAATCCACTTGAGCCACCAAAGTGCTCGAAACAAACTTCTATCGCAGCTCAGCAGCGAGCAGCTCATCCTCCACCAGATAAGCCTCCCAACAACCCACCTGATACTCCCACCAACAGCAACCCACCTGACACTCCCACCAACAGCAACCCACCTGACACTCCCAGCAACAACAACCCACCTAATACTCCTAGCAACAACAACCCACCTGATACTCCCAGCAACAACAACCCACCTGATACTCCCAGCAACAACAACCCACCTGATACTCCCAGCAAAAACAACCCACCTGATACTCCCAGCAACAACAACCTATCTGATACTCCCAGCAACAACAACAACCCACCTGATACTCCTAGCAACAACAACCCACCTGACACTCGCAGCAACAACAATTGACTGGGCACGTCAGCCACAAAGGTGATCGAGGCAAATCCCTTCTTCAGCTCAGCAGCGAGCAGCAAAGCCTTCACCAGATATGTCAAACATTGTATGTTTACATTGTGTAGGCTATAGTGGGTTTAGCCTTAGGGGGTACACAAACTTAGGGTTTCCTACTTGTACCCAACTTTGTGCTAGTTCAATCATTCCTGTTTCTTTCAACTGCTCCTACTGCTACTACTGGAGGTGCTGCTGGTGCTGAGGACTTGGGCGTAGGAGCTGCTGCTGGTGCTGAGGACCCGGGCGTTGGAGCTGCTGCTGATGCTGCGGACCCGGACGTTGGAGCTGCTGCTGGTGCTGCGGACCCGGGCGTTGGAGCTGCTGCTGGTGCTGCGGACCCGGGCGTTGGAGCTGCTGCTGGTGCTGCGGACCCTGGAGTTGGAGCTGCTGCTGGAGCTGCGGACCCTGGAGTTGGAGCTGCTGCTGGTGCTGCGGACCCGGGAGCTGGTGCTGCTGGTGCAGCTGGAGACCCTGGAGCTGAGGGTACTGGTGGTGCCTCTGCTGGTTTTGGAGGCACTGCGCGGCCGCGGCCGTACTTCGTTCCGCTCCTTCAGCAGGTTCTTGGTCAGCCGCCTCCCCCTAGTCCTGCTCCCTCCTTAGAGTGTCCTCCACCTGTCCAGTCGCAGTCACAGTTACCGCCTGCCTCGCCACTCCCTGGTCCTTCTCCTTACACTGGTCCGACAGGCGGTCTCACTGAGCGTCGTGAGCCTGAGTCTCGTCCTGTGTCGCCAGAGTCTCGGTCAGCGTCGCCTGTTCGTGCTGCTCGCACTGGTCGTCGTGTCCCGCGTCAGCGTCCACCTGCTGTCCCAGGCACTCACCAGATGGCGCTTCGTCCTTCCACTGCTCCTCAGCGTGTCCTTCTGCCGTCTCCTCCTGCTTCCTCTCTTCCTGCTCTTGCTGACCCGGAGTCTGACTCCATTCGTGCTGCCAGTCCTACTGTCACGCGTCTCCTCGCCACTGTTGTCACTGACCCTACCTTTGAGTCCTCTGCTGCGTCTGCTCTAGTTGCTGAGTTAGTTGCCTTTGCTGCCGCTTGTCGTCTAGACTACGCCGCTAGCCTTGTCGCTGAGTCTGAGTCTGTCTGTCCTCCGTCCGTCGGGGGTGAGTGTGCTCTTGGCACGGACGTCCTTGAGGACAGGCAGGAGGAGTTTGAGTGCTTTGCCGCTGCTTTACCTCATCTCGTGTCCATGCTGGTTGCCCCTGAGGGAGACCCGGATGCTCCAGACATCCCGACCCCGCGCTCTTACGCTGAGGCGATCGCGGGTGAGTACTCCTCTCAGTGGCAGACAGCCATGGACGCAGAGATGGCTTCTTGGAAGTCCACAGGCACCTACATCGACGAGGTTCCCCCACCTGGGGCGAACATCGTCAGTGGCATGTGGATTTTCAGGGTGAAGCGGCCGCCGGGTTCTCCGCCTGTCTTCAAGGCGCGTTACGTTGCACGAGGCTTCAGTCAGCGAGAGGGAGTTGACTTCTTCCAGACCTTCTCCCCGACCCCGAAGTTGACCACTCTTCGGGTTCTGCTGCACGTCGCCGCTCAGCGTGACTACGAGCTCCACTCTCTTGACTTCAGCACTGCTTTCCTATAGGGCAGCCTGCACGAGGAGATCTGGCTGCGCCGCCCACCTGGCTTCACTGGGTCGTTCCCTCCTGGTACCCAGTGGAGCCTCCGGCGGCCAGTCTACGGTCTCCGCCACGCACCGCGTGAGTGGCACGACACACTGAGGACTACGCTTGCGGCTCTTGGGTTCGCTCCTTCTACTGCTGACCCGTCGCTGTTTCTACGCACCGACACTTCGCTGCCGCCGTTCTACATCCTCGTGTACGTCGACGACTTGGTCTTTGCCACTGCTGACACTGCGGCACTCGCCCACGTGAAGTCGGAGCTGCAGAAGAGACACACGTGTACAGACCTGGGTGAACTGACAAGCTATCTTGGCTTGCGGATCACCCGGGACAGAGCACGGCGCACCATCACCTTGACTCAGTCACACATGGTGCAGCAGGTCCTTCAGCGCTTCCGCTTCATGTACTCCTCGCCTCAGCCCACTCCTCTGCCTACCGGTCACTCGCTCTCAGCTCTGCCTTCGGATGAGTCCGTAGAGCCGAGTGGCCCGTATCCAGAGCTTGTGGGCTGCCTCATGTACCTGATGACCTGCACTCGACCTGACCTTGCATACCCTCTTAGCATCCTTGCACGCTATGTCGCTCCTGGCCGTCACCGGAAGGAGCACATGGATGCCGCTAAGAGGGTGTTGCGCTACTTGTGCAGTACGTCGGGCATGTGGCTAGTGCTTGGAGGACGAGACCGAGTTGTACTCACTGGGCACTCAGACTTCTTGGGCTGACGACCAGGCTACTCAGCGGTCGTCTCAGGGTTACACCTTCAGCCTTGGCTCTGGCTCTGTTTCTTGGCGTTCTACACGCTCTTCTTCTGTTCTCAGCTCCAGTTGTGAGGCTGAGATCTACGCCACAGCCATGGCGGCCCAGGAGGTACGCTGGCTCACCTACCTGCTGACCGACCTCGGAGAGCGGCCTCGTTCTCCTCCAGTGCTGTACGTCGACAACAAGGCAGCCATTGCCTTGTGTGAGGAGCACAGACTGGAGCACAGAACGAAGCATATCGCTCTGCGCTTCTTCCTTGCTCGAGAGCTGCAGCAGCGTGGTCAGCTTCGTCTTACCTACGTGGCCACTCGGGCCAACACTGCTGATGTGTTCACCAAGGCGCTTCAGCCTTGTGACCATCAGCGTTTCTGTACTGTTCTAGGCCTTGTGCCTACTCTCCTTCACTTGCTCACTTCTTGACTCTGTTTGTACTGTGATCTCTATATATATACCTGCATGCTTACACTTGCTAGGTTGTGATCACTGTACCTCTTGTTATATTATCAAAATGTATGTGAACTGGTCTTGTGACCGCTTGCTTGTGCTCGGAATTTGTGTGGTATCCTTGAGATCCACCCTGAGCTTTGCTTTGCTTTGCTTTGCTTTGACTGGTCTTGTGACCCTCTGGTTGTCTCCCACTTCGCCTATGGGGGTGTGTCAAACATTGTATGTTTACATTGTGTAGGCTATAGTGGGTTTAGCCTTAGGGGGTACACAAACTTAGGGTTTCCTACTTGTACCCAACTTTGTGCTAGTTCAATCATTCCTGTTTCTTTCTTTCTGACAAGATAAGCCTCGACGCCTCTCAGCCAAGTCACCTTCTTGCTGCTCTGCTGCCCCCTCACAAACATCTGCACTGGCTCTTTCTCCCCCTTCCACTCCACATTCCTCCCCCTTCCTCCCCTGTGCCACGCCTGCAGTTGCAGCAGTAGCATGTGCCTTAACTCCCACTTATGGCATTCTGTTTTTGAGTAGATTCAAAATTAGGCTGCTTTTGAGTCGACTAAAAAATAAGATAGGCATTTGCAACAGTAAAGCTGGTCTCGAACGCTATTCCGAGTGTACAAAAGGAGGTACCTTGGGGTGCAATTGTGGGGGCTTGGGCGGATTGCTTGTCTTATGTGGCCAGAATTCAAGGAGGGCGTGGTGGCGGCGGTTGATAGATGAGATGTTGAGCTCCTTGCGGTGCTTGTCCTCCTTGCCGCTTATCTGATGGGAGGGGAAAGGAACGGTAGGCAGGGAGTATGGAAGGGTGGAATGGAGGGGCGAGCATGGGGTGGCGGTGGTTGATAGATGAGATGATGAGCTCCTGCGGTGCTTGTCCTCCTTGCCGCTTATCTAGCAAGGAAAATAGCAGAGGGAACATAGCAGGCGGTGTATAGCAAACGGAAGGGAGCATAGCATAGAGCGGGGCAGAGGGAACATAGCAGAGGGAGCATAGCAGAGGGAACATAGCAGGGGAAGCATAGCAGAGGGAACACAGCAGGGGGAGCACAGAGCATAGCAAGAAAGCATAGCTGAGGTAAGACAGCAGGGGGGGCATAGCCGATGGATCACAGCAGGGGGAGCATAGCAAAGGGAGCAGGCGGGCAGGGGCAGGCGCAAGGGTTAGACAAAGTCGGAGAGGGCCGGCAGAGATGGAGAGGGCCGGCAGGGACGGAGAGGGCCGGCAGGGACGGAGAGGGCCTGCAGGGACGGAGAGGGCCTGCAGGGACGGAGAGTGCCTGCAGGGACGGAGAGGGCCTGCAGAGACGGAGAGGGCCTGCAGGGACGGAGAGGGCCTGCAGGGACGGAGAGGGCCTGCAGGGACGGAGAGGGCCTTCAGGGACGGAGAGGGCCTGCAGGGACGGAGAGGGCCTGCAGGGACGGAGAGGGCCTGCAGGGACGGAGAGCGCCTGCAGGGACGGAGAGCGCCTGCAGGGACGGAGAGGGCCTGCAGAGACGGAGAGGGCCTGCAGGGACGGAGAGGGCCTGCAGGGACGGAGAGGGCCTGCAGGGACGGAGAGGGCCTGCAGGGACGGAGAGGGCCTGCAGGGACGGAGAGGGCCTGCAGGGACGGAGAGGGCCTGCAGGGACGGAGAGGGCCTGCAGGGATGGAGAGGGCCTGCAGGGACGGAGAGGGCCTGCAGGGACGGAGAGGGCCTGCATTGACGGAGAGGGCCTGCAGGGACGGAGCTGTGCTGGTGACATAGCACAGAGGGAACATAGCACAGAGGGAACATAGCACAGAGGGAACATGGCACAGAGGGAACATAGCACAGAGGGAACATAGCACAGAGGGAACTTAGCACAGAGGGAACATAGCACAGAGGGAACATAGCACAGAGGGAACATAGCACAGAGGGAACATAGCACAGAGGGAACATAGCACAGAGGGAACAGCACAGAGGGAACATAGCACATAGGGAACATAGCAAAGAGGGAACATAGCACAAAGGGAACATAGCACAGAGGGAACATAGCACAGAGGGAACATAGCACAGAGGGAACATAGCACAGAGGGAACATAGCACAGATGGAACATAGCACAAAGGGAACATAGCACAGAGGGAACATAGCACAGAGGGAACATAGCTTAGAGGGAACATAGCACAGAGGGAACCAGGTCCGGCAAACGGCCTTTGCTGGGCACGACCAGGTATGGCAAACGGCCTTTGCTGGGCACGACCAGGTATGGCAAACGGCCTTTGCTGGGCACGACCAGGTATGGCAAACGGCCTTTGCTGGGCACGACCAGGTATGGCAAACGGCCTTTGCTGGGCACAACCAGGTATGGCAAACGGCCTTTGCTGGGCACATAGGAGCCTTATGAGCATGGTGGGGAAGGGAGAAGGAGCGTCAGGCGCTGCTTCATATGGCGGGGCCGGCATGGCATCAGATCAGGGTTGGGAAAAGATGTTTGATTCGACTCAAAAGGGGGGAGGGAGCATCAGGCGCTGCTCCATATTGTGGAACCTGCATGGTATCAGGGTCGGGCATGGCACCACAAGTAGGCACAAGCAGGCCCCGGAGGAAGTCCCTGTTGGGGGCGTACGAGCCATGTGCTGTCTCCCTATGGGCATGGTGGGGAAGGGGGGACGGAGCGTCAGGTGCTGCTCCATGTGACAGAGCAAGCCAGCATCAGAGCCTGGCACCACCAGGTCCGTGTGAGTATCTGTGTGGTTACATGGCCATGCGGTTACCAGTGGGATATATCCTGGTGCCGCGACCGTTGCAGTCGAAGAGCATTAACAGCCCGTTGTCGAGTCCTTACACCAGCACGCGATTCACCAGCCTCGTCACCGCCACGTCAGCCTGGACGATTAAACAGACCAATAGTCACTTCCGTGAAAAGCCGTAGTCTTGGGAAATCCGAAAAGACCAAATAACAAAAGACAGCGGGAGTGAGGAGAGCGCAAGCACCTCGCGCATTACAGCACATCAGAGCGCATCAGAGGGCATTAGAGTGCATCAGAGCGCATCAAAGCGCATTAGACAGCATCAGAGGGTTTCAGGACGAGGTAATTAACACGAATGCGTGGGCCCACGTCGAGGCTATACGAGTTTAAAGAGGGAGACACTAAGGGGCACCTTGGGTGGCAGGATCGTGTCTAGCTGCTCGTCAATGGCGCCTGGAAACTTCGCCAAAGCTTTTTTTTGTCCGCTCCTGCATCACCAAAATTGAAAGATCCGACATCGGTCCAACTCCGAAAAGCATTTAGAAGGAATCCGGGAGGACCCGTTCCGTGCCCTCAACTAGGATTCACCTAGCTTGAAAGGTTCCAACCTGACTCCACCCTACTTTGGCACATGAGGATCCCTTTTAGACACATACCTAAAAAATGCGCATATACATATTCAATATGCTGTGAATGTTATTAAATTATCAATACTTGGCAGACTATGTCCTAGTAGTGTCAAACAGTTCAGACTTGTGATAATTGCAGCCAGCTACACCCAGCACTGCAGCACAGGTTATTCAAACGGGCCGAGCAGAGGGTTAAATACGGCCTCCGGAAACCACTCTGCCACCATCTAAAGAATAAAGCGCTTCACTAGGAAGAAACGAGGGTTCGTGCAGGACCGCACAATGTGGGCGAGGGAGAGGATGGAGTCCATCTCAATCACCGAAAAAGCAGCTCTGCCAACTGTTGGGCAGAGTCTCTTGCAGCCCGTGGCCGGGCACACCTGCTCGTCTTCGTCATAGTACCTCACAAATGCACGCTCGTGCGCAACGCCCGCGCTGTCCTTGAAGTGGAATAGCAGTTGACACTGACCATACCACACAATGCGCCGCGCACTGATGGCGATGTGGGAGAACAGCGGCTGCGCGGGGGTGGCTTTCACGAACTGCCTCCGCGAGGTCCACTCCATGCGGTCGTGTGGCGGGATCGCCACCGCCGTGTGCGCCTTCAAGTAGTAGGAGGCGGAGGAACGTCATTGCCAGCACACGACACAAGATGAGCATGCTGTGACGTGCAAAAAGGCATGACATCACTATTGATCTTGGATGGTTTCCACAATTACACACGTAGAGGGTGCGCATGGAAATACGTGCCGCCCTCAGTGCGCCATGCAGTGCAGAAAGCGCCACGTCTCCGATTTGTGCTTTATACTCTGAGTAGCACCTGTCCGAGGAGTCACTGACGAGGAACCTCCGGCTTGTCCACGTGACGACGCGGCGGTTGCCCTCCATCGCCTGTAAGGTAAGCGGGGGGGAGGGGGTGGAGGATTTATGTATCTGAGTTTCTGCAATGCACCATACGTGAAAGCATAAAGTAAATGTGTGAAGGCTTTAGAGGTGCTCTTGTCCCCCATCCCACTAACTCCCCCACTGCCCATTCACAACCCCCCTTAGGACGGCTGCAATTCTGGACAAGGTTGAGACAAGGTTGACCAGAATATGCGTCGTCCAGATAACATACGGTGGAAACACAAATGACATAAGCATGATACGTGGTTTAGAAGGCAGAGCGCGTAGCAGGCTACTCACCCATGCTGCGGACGTATTTCTGGTCTGCCAAGTCTTGGCAACCGACATTGCAGCGATGCGTAAAGCCATCAATAGACGTGACACATTCGCGAGCCGGGGGGGTTACATCTCGTTAAGGTGCGAGTGTGGCTCACCTGATGCATGGCAGTGACGTAGACGTGATCCCCGCCACTCTCCCTCGCAAGCTCCTTGGCGGCTGCAATCTGCACATGCTTCTGCACGATGCGTTCCGTCGCGTTCCTCTAGTTGCCGCCACGGGCCGGGCGCTTCGCGGTGGTCTTGTGCGAGTGCTCGTATTGATTCATCGAGTACTGCAGCGACATGCCCCTGTCCCGAATCGTGGTGGATAGGTGGGACAGCAAGTGGACCTTCACAAGGCGCCACTCGGACCGCTGGTAGGGGTACGCCAGCACATGAGCGTCAACAACTCTGTGAACATTACGAGGCGGGATGGGATATTGATTGGGAAAGAAAGCAAATAGTAAGGGTTATATTGTAGTTGCGGTGTGATTGCGGTCCGTGGTTTGATGGCTGAGTGCGTATGGCGATGGACTTCACGCGGGCGGTGGAAAGAGGTGACCACTACAAATCTAACCCGGCGGTCAACTCCTCGATTTCCTCCAGCGAGGTGTTGGTGTGGTGATCCACTTTGAAGCACGTGGCGTACCACTCCGAGAACAAGATCGTGGCCCGCGCAATATCCTCCCGGTTAGGAAGATGTACGATCAGCAGCATGATCTGCATCATGTCGCGGTGTTCCCGGCTGAGAAGGACGCCGCGGTCGCCAGGTATGACTTGCCGGAAGGGGTGCGCATCACGGACGACGGGGTCTGGTCACGCACTTCTGCGTAGAATCTGGAGTGGAAACAAAAAAGACATAAAGCGAGCCGTGCAAATAAGCCTCGTGTCATGCAGGGCGGATCCACACAACAATGAAGTCTGCATGGCACTGAGTACAGCGTATTTAGACCGCGCTTACCCTAGAAGCATCGCTCGCTCAGTGGGGGTGAGCGACGCGAGAAGGGACTTCATAGAATGCAGCCAGAATCCCTTGTCCACCACATGCATGATGTCGAGTGGCACAGCGCGGTAGATGTTGCCCCTGGGCGTGGTCGAGAAGGCCCAGTCCCACAGCGCACACTGCATGATCATAAACGCGCAGTATTATGTACATTAGCGATGAAATACAAGACTTAATGCGTGATGTGCATGTACCGTCTAAAGCTTAAATCTTACCCGGACGAAATGCGTCGAGTACGCCTTCGCCAAAGCCCGTCGATCCGGAGGTGTGGCGCCCTCCAGGAGATCGTACACATCCTACTGGTGAGGTACTGTCCGCCAAGCGATGTCAGGCTTCACCTCAGCGAGGTTCGCCCGATCCACAAAGCAGGACGAGCACGGATGCTGAGATGACGATGACATCGTGCAAGTAACCTTGCACGATTCAGGGAAATCGCATACGTACGCGTACAGCAGCGGAAACACGACGTATTCGGCTCCAAGGTACTGCCAATCCGCCACTGCCAAACACCAACGCACACGACCATGAGTGATTCTATTCCGTATTGTTCTAGTCCACCAGCTACACTCTGAACCAATCTGAAACGTGTACCTCTCTGGCGAAGAGAGTGCGATGACTGGCCCGAACACAATCCGCAGTGCCTCCTGGAAAACGCGCATCTTCTCCTCTGCCGCCATGTCGGATGGCAACGGCGGAAAGAGCGCAACCACCTCCGTCCCTCCCGATTTCCATCTCTCGGCCTCTGGAATGTTTGCAAACGACACCACAAACGGATGAGCCGTTTGCCGTCCATTCGCTGTCAGGTTCGTTGCGTCGCTGAAGATGATGAGCGCGAGCACAAAGCCGAGTGGCTTGACGGCCGCCTGCACTCATACGTAAATAAGCATGATGCACTCGTCAGCAGGGGGCAGGAGGCATGAATGACACGGGTTCGACCTCGTGTTACTTGGTATTAGATGAATGACGGCCGTCTTACATGTGCGTTCAACCACCAGTCACACTCTTCAGGTACGCCAAAGCGCCGTTTGCCCTGGGTTTTCTGCTCGCTAGGCCGCAAGACAAACCCATCGACCGTAGACATGAGAAGCCACACCTCAGCAACACCTGCACATGGATGGGGGTAGCAGTGTAGGTGTGATTGACGTCGGGTACGCAAACCGAGTGGCGAGATAGCCTAGTGATCACTTTCAATATGGTTATCAGGAACAGACGAGCCTGGAATTTCCAACTTACCGCAATGATAGGGCGGTATCGGAAGGTCACTGAGCCGATCTCGTGGGCTACCTCGATTTCCACCGTCTCCCATCGGTTCTCCTCCGGCAAATACACCAAGCTCTCAAACTTCTCGAGATCCCGATGCGTCAACCATCCCTCCAGGTCCGCAGTGCGCAGCAGTGGGTTCTTGAAGAGGTGAAGGATCTCAGTGATCGCCATGTTGCACAGCATGTACTTTTTGGCGAGAAGCATTAGCTCCACCCGAATGTCGAAGAACTCGGGGTCAGGCTGGTCCTCTGCGCCGGATGTGTCGTCGTTGTCTTCACGATCCCTGCCGCCGTCGCTAGTCGATTCGTCCGAAGATGAAGAGCGCACATGATACAAGCGTGGCGCCTGTCCATCTCCGAAGCGAGACGGCCCAGCGGTAGTGGCAACCGCCACAGGGCGACAACGTGCAAGCCCGAGAAGAGATCTCCGGCGTAACTTTGCTCGTCGCGACTGCTCGCGAAGACACTCGCCGTTTCTGGCCTGATGGACTCGTAAGCGGTTAAGATCTGCATATTCGTTACTGCAGAACTCACACTCCTCGCTAGCCATCTAGGCTGGACACGCCTAATGTGAGGGTGTTCAGCCATATCGGCAGCTGCCTTTGTAGTGCTTACAAACATCGTTCGAGGCAAGGGAGTTGCCCAATAACCACGGATGTGACTAAGATGTGCTTATGGTTTGCACGTTTCCTATCCTATGCAACGGCTCTCTGCTACTGAAAATGCATAGACCCCATCGGTCTTCGCGCCAGACAATGCGAACCGCCACAACACTCCTAACGTGCCAGTGCACGACTCAATAGGGGTGGCGACGCAAGATGGCGTGCAGTGGACGAGCCTAAGGATGTTGCTTCGGTATTGTCGATAGTGTATGAATTTGGTAGCGTCATATAAACACTAAACCAAGTGATTCCTAGTTTTCAACATCATGAATAAACCTTCACCCGAATTTCGACTTTACACTCTAGTCAAAAGTCATAAATAACATTAACGCCTACTCGTCACACACAACTGCCTAGTACATGACATGCTTGATTCCCATCAGAGCCTCGCTCATCGTGAGAAACCTGTCAAACCGGTTGAGCCTGGCAGCAGGTGAGTCTACCGTATTTCCAGTGCGTTCCACGCCTGCACAAGGGTCGTTGGGAGTTAGTACAATGCACAGAGTGACACACTCTGCAAGCGTGATCGATAAAGGCAACCCTACGCTGCGCTCACCACCTAGCAACTCTGTAGCATGCTCGGGCCGGCCGCCGGAAGCCACTGCGTCTGCGGGACCCACACGGAAATGGGTCGCACACGCAGCATTGCCGGGCGCGTCTGCTTCTCCCTCGGGCGCATCGCCGGACGCGTCTGCTTCTCCCTCGGGCGCATCGGCGGTAGGAGACTGCTTTGAGGACGGGTTTTGGGGCGTAACAATATCTGCGGAGGGATCTGCAGTCACTTGCAATGGTGCAGGCGACGGGATGGCTGCCGCCTCGATTTCAACAGCTTCTTCTGTCACTATAGGCGACGTAGCGGGCGCGACAGTGACATCAGTATTAGGTGCTGGTGGCAGCGTTGACGGGGCAGCAGATGGCTGGAGGGGATTCCCACCGTTATCCCAATCAAAAACGTCTTGCTCGTTGTTAATGTCGAGCTCACCGAGGGGATCATCGGCGTGATTTGGAGTAAGCCGTGAGTACCTTTTTAGGTTTTCCATTAACATGTCAATACGATGCGCCTCACGCTGCTCGGATAGTGTACTTAGAGTACTGCTATACGGACTATTTTTACGCTTCATCTCGCCAAATGAGATGCGCTAGGAAAAGCGAGGAGACAGATACTAGGTTGGACCTGTCCACTCATTTTCGGGCTGGGGATTCGTGCCACGCCGATAATGTGAGCCGATTGAACATTAGTGTACCGCTAGTGAATTGTTTCGGTAACAGCTATCAAAATCCTAGCGTGAGTTTGGCTTAGGAGCCATAGTTTAGGAGCCTTGGTAGTTGAGTTCGAGTTTAGGAAAAGTATCGAGAGGAATTGGGTTTTACTAGCAAGAGTTGGGATACAAGTACAACACCCTAAATTGGGTTGTACTCATTACAGAGTACCTCACTGCAGGCTAGACAGCAAATACATTCTGACACACCCCCATAGCCAAAGTGGAGTGTAATCAGCACAATGAGCAAGCATAGAGCAAGAGTTCACAATAGGTAAGTAAGGCTAGAGCTAATCACAGAGGGCAAGTGAGGAGGAGGAGAGACTGTGGGGGAGAGAAGATGGGAGGTGACTGCTGACGCTGCAGACACACAGACGAGCTGCTGGCTCAGTGGCTACCGGAACAGCGCTCCGGACTACTGGGGTAACTGGCCCCGCGGCTAAAAGTAGCGGCAGACGAGCAACGGACCCACGGGCGACTGGCGACTACCGGAGATTGTAGCCTCCGGACTGCTGCTGCTGCTGACGACAAGACTGCTGCCTCCACTCGACCTCCCCAGCTGCCTAACGCCCTTCTCACACACCCCCTGCTCAAACCCTAGCCCTACACCCACAGCACCCCCTTAAACCCTAAACCCCAGACTCCCACACATCCACCCCCCTCAGCGAGAGCTGCAGCAGTGGGAGACGAAGGAGGAGGAGGAGGAGGGAACGGCACGCACAACCGACACCCGCACAACCATCACCCCCACACCCACCCCCCCACGGCTGCACCGGGTCCAGGAGCGGCTGCTGCAGGGGCCAGGGGCGGCTGCTGCTGGGGCGGCTGCTCCAGGGGCTGCTGCTGCTGGGGCGGCTGCTCCAGGGGCTGCTGCTGCTGAGGCGGCTGCTCCAGGGGCTGCTGCTGCTGGGGCGGCTGCTCCAGGGGCTGCTGCTGCTGGGGCGGCTGCTCCAGGGGCTGCTGCTGCTGGGGCGGCTGCTCCAGGGGCTGCTGCTGCTGGGGCGGCTGCTGCTGGGGCGGCTGCTCCAGGGGCTGCTGCTGCTGGGGCGGCTGCTCCAGGTGCTGCTGCTGCTGGGGCGGCTGCTCTAGGGGCTGCTGCTGCTGGGGCTGATGCTGCTGGGGCGGCTGCTCCAGGTGCTGCTGCTGCTGGGGCGGCTGCTCCAGGGGCTGCTGCTGCTGGGGCTGCTGCTGCTGGGGCGGCTGCTGCTGGGGCGGCTGCTCCAGGGGCTGCTGCTGCTGGGGCGGCTGCTCCAGGGGCTGCTGCTGCTGGGGCGGCTGCTCCAGAGGCTGCTGCTGCTGGGGCGGCTGCTCCAGGGGCTGCTACTGCTGGGGCGGCTGCTTCAAGGGCTGCTGCTGCTGGGGCGGCCGCTGCAGTGGCGGCGGCTCCAGGGGTTGCTGCTGCTGGGGCGGCTGCTCCAGGGGCTGCTGCTGCTGGGGCGGCTGCTCCAGGGGCGGCTGCTGTTGCAAGGCAGGCCGCTCCAGGGGCGGCTGCTTCAGGGGCGGCGGCTCCAGGGGCGGCTGCTGCAGCGGAAAGTAGGAGGGAGGGGAGGGGAAGGGCGCGGCCCCCATTGTGCCCTGACGGGCGATGTGCTAGGGAGCCGCGCAGGTCCCCAAAAGTGCCTCGACTGGCAACGAGAGGGGACCGCGCGCAGGCCCCTAAGGCGCCGCGACGAGGCAACGGGAGGGGCCGGCTCGCGGGCCCCGAAAGTGCCGCGACGAGGCGACGGGAGGGACCTGCGTGCAGGCCCCCAAAACGCCTCGACGAGGCGACGGTCGGGGCCAGTGCGCGGGCCCCTAAGACGCCGCGACGAGGTAGGAACCCGCCGCGCGCCTCGGGGCGCACGGCGGGCAGAAAACCGCCACGCGCTCCGAGCGCGTGGCGGGAAGAAAAATGGGATGTCGCGCGCCACGGGGCGCGCGACACACAGTAGGGCAGCGGAATCGAGTGGGCCCACAGGCCAGGAACGTTAAGCTCTGATAACATATCAAAATCCTAGCGTGAGTTTGGCTTAGGAGCCATAGTTTAGGAGCCTTGGTAGTTGAGTTCGAGTTTAGGAAAAGTATCGAGAGGAATCGGGTTTTACTAGCAAGAGTTGGGATACAAGTACAACACCCTAAATTGGGTTGTACTCATTACAGAGTACCCCACTGCAGGCTAGACAGCAAATACATTCTGACAACAGCAACATGGATGGCTTGTTCGATACACATATGGTTTACGATGGAATGACACCATCAGCTATGCTTGTATGTGTTACTCTTTGTCCCTCATTTTCGAGTAATTGAATGTACATGAAATCTCTTTGCCCCAAATCAATGCTCTACACATTTCCTCTAAGACCGTTGAAATGCGACTAGGAAATCAAATCGGAGCGCAGCTCGTCACGCCACCTAATAGGCAATACAGTCTAATACTTGGTATCCCATAATCTTGTTTGGTATCCCATAATCTTGTTTGGTGGGGGTGGGGGGAGGTGGGTGGTTTGGGGCCCCGGGTAGGGTTTGGGGTGAGGAAGCAGAGTAGAGGTGACGTGGTTCCCTTTGGGCTCTATTAGGATGTTGCTGACGTTATGGCTGTCCCATTTCCAAAAGCGCAGTACTTACGCGCTCCATGTTGCTTTTCATACTGGATTTGGTGTCTCGTTTGAGTGTGATTAACCAACCCTGCAAACAGCCATTGATATGCCACCCTAAACCTTGTGGGTGAATTGTACCATGAAAATCACCCACGAACATGGTATTGTTATAGTCACAGTAGGCTCCAATGTGCCTAAAACGAAAGATAGAGTGCACAGTCGGATTTCTGCACAGCGGCTTCAAACGTTCATAGCGTTCTGGTCACAGCTTCAAATGACTTGATTCAACTTGGATCTGGAGCGTCTTATTGTCGCCTACAATAGGCAATTTATATCGCACGATTTCACCAAGTATTGACGACACAACATCGGTTTGAACGAACGGCACTATAGCAGCCACTATAGTCTTAGAACACAAGATAGGAAGAGTTAGGAAGAGTTACGAGTTGGGAATGACAGGTCCTACAAACCCCAAGAGCCGAGGTACAGTGATGGGGAACAGTGTCACACTGCCCCCAACCACGAAGGGTCTCGAAACTACCCTTCACTAGGGCCTACACCAAGTGAAATGTTACACTACACAAAGTAATGTAACTATCTTCAATATCTTGAGGTGTACCCTTTTGGCGAGCTTCGAAATCACTTGAAACTTGAAACCAAGGCTCGGGTTCTTCATCACAAACTCATCCTTGAGTTCTTGATGGGTCT